GAGCCCACACAAGTTTCTAATCACCTGAAAAGGCATGACTGTGTACAGTATTGTTTACCTTATTTATGAGAGCGTCAGTATAATAACATAAGTAGACCGATATATATATATATATATATATATATATATATATATATATATATATATATATATATATATATATATATATATATGCTTCTTTTTTCTTGCTAAAATGATGCAGGTTGAGTCATAAGTGACACTACCAAAAAAAAGGGGTGGGATGAAAAGTTTCTGTTAGGATAAATGCTGATTTCTTTAGTTTTATGCAGTGTTAGAGAAAAATATGCCTGTGGATCACCAGTGACTGCAACATTTTACATAAATCATTTTCCCCTGACTTGGGGGAATTCTGCCAGTTATCGAACTGAGCTACGGGATGTGGAAGGAAAGAAGGAGAAAATCGAAGCTTCCGATGAGAAGCTCGTAAGCAGTGGGTGGGTGCTGGAGCCGATGTTTCAATAGGTGGACTTGTCTCTCTCAAGGGCTGCAATTTGAGATCTGAAAAACCCCCCGCTTTCCGAATTTTTCATAGGATGTAGAATGAAGTAGTGAAGGTCCAGTTGGTACATGTTACTGGGATAAAAGCAGCACATTCATCATGTAGCCGGGTTTACTGTTTGACGACTGCAGAGTCCTCACATGATATCTAAGTCTGATTGCGTGTGAAATTTGCCAAGCATTTATGATCAAGGAAAAAGGAAATGCGTGTTTGAGAGTAATCAGTCATGCTTTTTTGCTATTGTAACAGCTGGTAAACATTCATTGTTGCTTCATAGCTGCGATCTTGTAACAGCTAATTTTTCTTAGTTCTTAATTTCTGTGTATATTTTCCACTAAAAAAATGTACGCTTAGTTTTTACTTGGTGATTGCGTTGTTTGACTCTGGTCATCATGTTGTTGTGCTGTTTTAATCACAGTTACTAGATATCCATGAAGTATGACATTTAGCATGACCATTGTCAGCATAGAAAAGACAACATTTTTACATTAGAGCCATTAAGATTTCTTGAGGCTTGGAGCAAATACATTCCTTTTTTTTTAAATACATTCATTTTTTTTAACTATTCCATACTTTCCTTTTTAGGGTACTGTCACCAGCTTGGTTTTTGACAACATGACGACAGATGCGCTGATTTGATTGGATATCACTGCTCACTATCTACTTTTGAGAACAGCTGGAAAGACAGTCTCGACTTTCCCTGAGGATCACATTCAGAGCACCCTCTGCATTTACCACTGCGCTCCAAGGACTTCAAGTAGATTCGGATACTGAACTGACTGAACCAGTGATGCTATGTCTTAATGCCAAAGGTCACTTCATTCTGTCTTCAGCTCTGCCTAGGTGACGTTGAAGTACTAGATTACTTCAAAGTAATGCACATCTCGGGGGCCGCAAATCACAATGTTGCTGCATTTCTATAGCTAATAATCAAAAATATAATAGGTGGCACTTATTTAGTGTGTTTTTGCAACAAAGAATATATCTTGACATCTATCCTTTGTTTGCTTTCTTCCAATTTCCTTCCTTAGCATGCATTGTATTTTGGCACATCTCAAATGTCAGAACCTGAATGCTTTTCTCGTTTGTCCTGCTATGAGGAGCAGCTGGGGGAAAGACACATGTTGGGTAAGCTGCAGGGCATATGGTGATTGGTCTTGTGTTGTTCAAACATGCTGCATTTATTGATTGGGATCTGAAAACTTATTCAGAAAGAAAATATTATCCTGGCAGGTTCCTAAAGTCTTGCAAGTTTTCAGCGTAGTGTGGTTACCTGTACCTCCTGTCTGACAGATTTAACATATTCACAAAAATTTTAATTGTCGTTATCCCTAGTTCATGCTCCTTGAAAGCAGTGGTTTGCAAAATGCTGTTAAGCATAGGCAGCACGCTTAGAAAACATGTGCTTAGCGGATTGTAAGTTCCCTGTTTGAGCAGGCTGTGACCAGTTTTTTTCTTTTTTTTTCAGCTTAGCTTTAATTTTGGCATTATGTCACTGGCTACCCGTATGGCCAGTGTTTGAATGGCAGCAAAAATTGTGCAGAGTGTCGCTGTTTGTGCCATACTTCACCAAAAGAGCATGTTGGCGAAGAAAAATTACGAAAAGCCATCAAAGTAACATGAAAACTTTCTTGCGAGTAAAACGGAAGCCACAGCCTGAAATGCAATATGATTAGCACTGATATGGAATAATCGGTCATTGCCACTGATATAGCCTCATAGCACTGATGTAGCACTGATGTAGAACTTGTGAAAGGAATGTTCCATTTCTAGAGCCACTATTCTGACAAGAGCTTTCAGAACTCGTTGAAACATTCATTGTGCCAATGTGCCTTGTCTAACGACTTCTCATTGTAAAGCTTAGAATAACAGAGACCTGAGCTGTTTCATAAGTGTTCATTCTCAAAGACAGGGCGTGCCGACATGGACACAAGAAAAAAAAGTCAGGACATCACTAATGCTAACTAACTGCACTTAGCGGTGGAAAAAAAAGGAAGAAACAAACACTTATCTGTGCGTGCCCGTGCAATAGGCGAACCTATCAATATGGCACGTGTAGCGGTTTATGAGAAACAGTATATGAAATGTATGAACAGTTATCTTTCGCATAGGCGTCCGCGCGTGCTGGGTTGATAGATAGCCTGTCACATGGGCATGCACAGATACATTCTTGTGCATTCTTTCTTTCCCACTGTTGTGTGCCTTTGCAGTTGCTGCACAGCGTGTATGGTGTGGAACTTCTTTCGTGTGTCCATGTTTGCATGCCCGGTCTTCTAGAATGAACTTCTCATTGCTTCAGGCCTCCCTTTGAATTTGTCTCCTTTCGATGTAGCCAATGTTATCTATACTCCACTCGCCGTTCTTGTTTCTTTATTGCTTTTCTCTATGTCTCAACTTCCAATGTTCTGCTTCTGTGCAGTCTTGTCTGTGCCATTTGTGGTGCTGTTTTACATTCTTTGTACTACAGCAACAGAAAGCCTGCTACAGGATCATGTCAGGTGACAACCCAAGTTTAGGTTATGTTCATTAGGACTCCCTGTTTTGCATAGGTATTAATGATGCCACATTAGCACTTATTGAAACCGGTGAGCGATAAACTTTATTACTGATCATGCTGATTTTTATTTTTTGTATTTTTTTATTGACCACACATTATTCATGCTTACATTATTTACTGCCTGCCATGCATCTTCTGTGAATATTATTTGTATGATGCCATTTCTGTATTGAATGTATTATTGCTTTGGTGATTTTATATTGTGCAGTGCACAGATTCTTGATTTTTCTTGCACAGATTCTTGAATCTTGCACAGATTCTTGAATTGTTCTAATTAGGCAAAGTTTGAATTGGAGGGCATGCACTGTTATGAAGAGGTATCGCACTACATTGCGAGGGTAGAACCAAAAGAAGCCACCTCTGAACTCGTTATGGCTAATGAGACACTACTACACGTGTCTAGCAGGTGATATTGTAAATAAAATTGATTGAGCTCGAACAGCAAACAGAACTAATTGATTAGTCAGCCAGAAATGCACCTTCATAAATTCATGTGTGCAGTGACCCTTAATGTCAAAATCAGTCATATTTATGTGCTTGCACTTCTGTGGTGATTTCATGAGTGTTGTTTGCAGCTTGCTCAAGAGCTTCACCACAGCATTCTAACTCTCAGCTATTGAGAAATGCGTTCTGCATCTCCATTGAATTTGGTTTGCTTTTGCTACACATTGTGATCACTGTGGGCTAACTTCTGTGAGGAGAGATGATAAACAGAGCCTCCCAGTTCAAATTAACAGAATACAGAAATGTTTGAATTATCCGAAGTTTTGCCCATAAAAATACACATGGCCGTGCCAGAACCCTGGCATTGCTTTGAATCAACTGTAAGTTCAAATTATCGAAGTTTTATTGTACGGAGTACCCTATTGCAGCATGCCTCATAGCCATACTGTGGTTCTCGTAGCTAAGTTATTTGTATTAAATCGGTAAGCCTTCTAGATAAGGCTTTTGGGTGTAATTAATTTGCACAAAGTCTATCGAAGAGTTTTCGTGATATGTTTCTTGAAACAAATTGCAATAGGGTGGAAAGGGAGGCGAGTTGGAAATGATGTTGATATTTCCATAGAAAATCGGCACGAACAAGACGAAGCTTCCTTGCCCCGCTACGGTGGTCTAGTGGCTAAGGTACTCGGCTGCTGACCCGCAGGTCGTGGGATAAAATCCCGGCTGTGGCGACTGCATTTCCGATAGAGACGGAAATGTTGTAGGCCCTTGTACTCAGATTTGGGTGCACGTTAAAGAACCCCAGGTGGTCAAAATTTCCGGAGCCCTCCACTACGGCGTCTCTCATAATCAAATAGTGGATTGGGGACGTTAAACCCCACAAATCAATCAATCAGACGAAGCTTCCTTGCAGAAGCATTCTTCATCAACATGTTGGGTGATGACTGCATATCTGAACCGTCTTTTTGCTCATTGTGAGGCGCACACGCTCAGCAACTTCTCTGACTTGGCCTGAAATTCTGGTGCACACACGGTGTCAGTGGCATAGCCAGGGACTGGCAAATCAGGCTCATGCTTCCCTCCCCCCTCCGAGACTTTTTTTGCCATAGCATACACAGCAAAAAATGACTATTTCGAAAAAAATGCCCCCCCCCCCCCCCCCAAAAAAAAAATCTGGCTACGTATCTTTAATGTGTGTCTTTCAATGAACTTCAGCTGTTGGTTAGCACTCATACCATGTCCTTCTGGTTTTGTGTTTCCATCTTGTTTGCTCTGATTTTCCAAGTATGCATGTTCCTTGACCGTGTAAAATTGTGCTGTTAGACAGACAAAGTTATATTGCATATTATTATGTGCATTGCGCTCTTTAATTGAGAGGGGAGAAACAGACATAATGGATCACTTGCCACTTGGCAGTTTCTGAAGCGCAAGCTTTCAAGTCTTTCACAAAAGCAAACAACTGTTTGCTTTTCTTTTCAGACATTGATCGCCTAGACGGAGCTTCCATGGCCATGGAAAGAGGCTACAGCTCGAAGCAGTACATGTGTCCGCTCTGTCCTTACACGACTACCCGAAAGGGAAACGTGGGCCTGCACCTGATCAGACATTCGGACCGGCATCCGTTCCTCTGCCCCGTGTGCGCCAAGGCCTTCAAGCGCAGTTACGACCTCAAACGCCACCTGGTGAGAATGCACACTCTGACGTAATGTCAAGAGAGGAACGCTGCGTAAGCACCATTTTTCTTCGTGCATGCGTTTGAATGTGCGTTTTCATCATGTTTCTAGTCGGGGTCGCTTGTGTGTTTCAGTATTCGAGCATCTTTTGAACTCTTCTGCTGTCAAGCGTATTACAGACTGGTGAAAACACGTGCAGAGTATAGCGAAAATTTGTTATTGTGCCCAGTGCTTGTCATGCTTCCAAACATTACTCATGTAATAGCTTTAATTACTTGTGTGGATTCTTGCAAGTGAACATGCACTTTCAGAAACAGGAGATCTCAATCTATTGTGATGCCTTTAATATTAAAACGATCTGGAAAATTCTTTTGCCAGAATATTCCCTCAATAAAGCTTACAACCTCCACTTCATGACCAAAATTTTCAGTGCCATATAATGGAGCCCTTTAAACTCAGAAAGTAAGTTCTTGGGTGTAACTGTAGCGAGCATGAAGTCATGAAAAATGTGAACACTCTGCTTTAAATGTCCTACAGCTTGCGAACTTTTGTTGTGTTGGAATCTAGCTTAACGAAGCTTCTTCTATTATACTCAGTTAAAATGACAATCCATATTTTCCATTTTCCTGCGCTGCCCTCTGGCGTGTTGGTAAGGCTTTGAGGGGGACCGGGAGAACTGGCATTGCTAGAACGAAGGTCTCCGAGACCTTCGTTCTAGCAGGCTTTTCACGACATTTCCGCTAGGGAAGGGCACATGCACTGCCTCATCGTGGAAAATGTGAGTTCATTCTAAGCAAGAGAATGTGATGATATTTTCGGCAATGAAGATGAACACAATTAGTTTTTGACTCTGAGATGAACTTGCAACTTGTCGATGTGGCATATGTAAGGACCTGTCCGTCTTTGCTCACTTGGATTATTCCCTAGTACATTTGTGTAGAATCTTGCTAATGCCACTTTCGTGCCTCATTACTACTCATTGCGACCATTTTAAGAAGAAATGCATGTTGTAAAAGGTAGGATGCCACTAATGGAGATGTACATATGTATATACAAATAAGTATGTGTGTGCAGCAAGGTGTTTATATAGCACATTATTAGGATGAATATTTTCAGGCTTTGGCACCATGAATGTATTAATGTATTTTAAGTAAAATACTTAAAACAACCGATGATAGAAATTCAATTTTTATTTGAGTGAGATGTTCATTTATATTTAAACTTGTGGTGCAGGCAAGTCCATAGAAAGAGAAAACCTCGTTTGAGCTGTGTGGTGTAGCTTATTTTTGCAAGAATTCTACATTGCTTTTCTAGTCTGGCAGGGTTTTTTTTTCAGTCACTTTGTTTAAGGGGAGAAGCGGGACTCCAAATGGCCTTGTCGTTTTTATTTACTATTTTATTTGTCAAGTCTTGACGCTGCAGTTATCTTTGGCATGGTGAGAAAGATGTCCACAGTTATCCATGGCAAAGAATGTTTTGGTGTTGGTTTTAAGGAACATTTAAGGTGAACATGAAGTTACTGAAACTATAGGCTTAAAACCCTCTAAGCTTTTATTTGATGGTCAATGCTTTATTTTTAGAAAATACATTGACATCATAGTTCAGGTTCTCAATGTCACCAACTGATTTTCCCGACCTGGTGGGGACCACAAAATAATATAAAAATCTAAGACTGAAAACGTTGTTAATGCATGAAAATTAAGTTCATTTTTCTTAAAGCAGCCTAAAGAAATCTCCGATAATGGCCTGCTTCATGCCATGCTACTAGATAGGCATATTTGACTGTAATTGGGTTGCATTGACGTTGTGAGTGCATTGGCGATTGCTGCCACTGCCCATTGGGGAGGCCCGGGGTGCCTCTGTAGCACCATGCTCACAAAATTTCAAGCCGGTCACAAAAAAAACAAGCTAGCTTTGCATCAGCAGTGCCGAGCCTGAGGAAGTGTGTCTATAGCTGGGCGGCTTCCTTTGCTTCTCGTTATTTCTCATTATTATTCTCTCTACTTTCTCAAGTTCTTCTTTTTTCTTTTTTTATATATATTTTTTCATTTCTCGCTCTTTTCATCTCTGTATCTCACTTTCTTTCTCTTTCTGCTTTTAGTCCCATTTTCTCTGTTTCTATGTCACGTTGCACTTTCTTCTCCTCCCTGCACTTCCCTTTAAAAAAAGCTGTGCCTGGATAGCCGAGTGGTTACAATGCTTGCATTCCGATCTTGTGTTCAAAATCTGGCTCGTCGCAATTTTTTTTTTTCACTGAAAATTTTGTTCTTTTTTTCTCAGTACTCGTTGCCTCACCATTTAGAGTTATTCCATCTTACCGAGGACATTTCAGCGCGCGTGGTTAGGCAGCGAAGCCCATAGCACGTGTCGGCTCACGATGATGATACGAACAAATGGCATGAACAGCTCAGCCGTTAAAAAATATGCTCGTAGCGTCCCTGTTGATTCGTGGGATTTAACGGCGCCGTCTGGCGTTCTTTAGCCGCTCTATGTGCAACCTGCACTGACATCGCACAGTACGTGAGGCTCCAGCATCTCGCCTCCATCGAAACGCGAACCGCTGCGGTTGCACTCAAAGCTGCGTCTTTCAGCAGGCTGCGGCGACAGTAACGACAGAGAACGCGCACAGCGTCTCAATACGCACTTGACACACGACCTCGTGCGGAACAACAACAACAACAACAACAACATACAAAAAATTTGCCCGCGTAGCTGACTGAAAAAATTGCGTCAGAGCAGGAGAGGCGGCTGGAGTGAGACGCTGTGCGGACGTGTTTCGCATGAGCTCCGGCCCGGTGACCGACTATCGGCGGACGCGCTTTTTTCTGGACTTGCTGTCAGTGGGCTCGTCTGCAGGAGGTTGCCCTGTACCTACGGACACCACTCGTTTAGGCAAGTTTGTCCCCGTTTTTGGAGTTTCCGAGATTTTCCTATCAACCCCGCGGTGGCGAGGCTAGGCCTATCTCCTAGGCCAAGCCTGGCCTGGGCCGCGTCGCCCGGCGTCTGACTTGTGCCCGGTGACCGTGGATCTTGTTGGGCTGAAGATGGAGTACTACGTCGAAGGGGAGACTATAACACCCGAAGATTTTGAAGCTGGAGAGTGGGCTCCAATGCTGAAGGCACAGGACCGATTTAAGAAGACTCGGCATGGCGACAACGCCAAGAGTAAGCCTTGCGAGACGCAGGCCAACAGCGACGGGCGCAAGACGCACGGAGCGCAGCAAGTCAAGCGGGGGAAAGCGCCGGTATGGAAGAAACGCGGACCGTTTCTCAAGTTGCCAGCCACGGATTTCAAGATTGTGTACAGGCCCCAGAACTGGGACTTGAGTGTTGTGACAGCGAGAGAACTCGGATGTGCACTGAGAGCAGCAGCGCGTCTAACGAGTGCGATTGCCGCGGAAGAAGACATTGTGCGGGTTAATGGCACAAACAACACGTTGACGGTGAGCACACCGTGCATAAATCGCAGTGGGGCATATGCGACTGTGAAGACGCTCAAGCTGGGTGATCGTGACCTGCCGGTTTCGGCGTTCGTGGCGCCGTTGGAGAACTCCGTGCGGGGAGTGATTTATAATGCTTATGATGGATGCCCAGTGGAAGAAGTTCGGGCGGGATTCCTGAAGAAGAATGAAGGCATAGACATTCTGGACGCGAGACCTCTGGGAAAGTCAAAGGCGATTCAGATTACGTTCGGGGGAAAACACATACCCCGGCAGATTACTTACTGGAACTGTCTGTACGCTGTGATCCCGTACAGAAATTTAGTCGACACCTGCTACAACTGCAGACGAGTTGGACATCGAGCGGACGTTTGCTATCGTCCGAAGAGCAACCTATGTCACCGTTGCGGGAAGGACCATCCTGCCCCGCCAGAAGGAGAGCCACCTACGTGCACGCCGGTCTGCATCGTGTGCCATGGTGCGCATCACACAGGGAGCCGTAACTGCAAGTTTCGCCTGGCTCGCAAGCCACCGACAGGCCGACAGCAGAGCATCGAAAGAGATAGCGAAGCTGGCAACGATAAGCGTTCCTCGAGGGCCACTGAGTGGTCACCGAGGGGTAAAGAAGGCAGAAGCAAAAGCAGGGACCGGTCGAGTTCCTTCCCGCCATTGCCAGGGCGCGGGGGCGGCCAAGATGGTGGACGAGCATCCAGTACCAACAGCTGCGCACGCGACACCAACAAAAAGGTGAGCTTGTCAGGCACGGCCTCCCAGAACGAAACCGCTCGAGAGAGGGAGTTAGCAGCGCTGGTTCAGCGACAGGGAGACTTGATTAAAAGAATGGAAAACAGAATTGCAGAGATGGAACGCGCACTTAGAAACGACCAACGGCAGGGGACACAGGCACCAGCAGTGAAAGGCCTACAGAAAGCGACGCAAGAGGCGTCTGCTCGCGTACAGGAGAGTGCAGCTATGGAAGTGGAGAATCGGGGGACAGTGAAGAGACCACTGCCGGGGGATGAGGTAGCTAACGCAAAACGATTAGCCGAAACGTCACCAGTAGACATGCCACAGCCTGTTTTTAAGGTCATTAGTCTTAAGTCGGATGTAACAACACTTGCGGATAAGGTAGGCAAACAAGGGAAAAGACAGGATAGGTTGAAGGCTCGAGTCGAAAAGATGGAAGCCAGATTAGACACAATAGAGGAGCGTCTCGGCATGCTCTCCACTAACCTAACCTAACCTAACCTAACCTAAACTAACCTAACCTAACCTAACCTAACCCAACCCAACCCAACCTAACCTAACCTAAGCTAACCTAACCTAACGTAACCAAACCTAACCTAACCTAAAGGATTCCCAAACCCAGGTCATGGGCATGTTTCAGCAGCTTCATACTCTATTGGAGGCAAGACTGCCTCCCGTGGGTGGCCAAGTGCCATTAGTCAACCTGGTGCCTCATCATGGCACCTCGCCAGCAAATTGAGGTTTGGCAGTGGAACTGCAGGGGCTTTCGTCAAAAGCGGGGTAACCTGCAGTTGCACGTACAAAATCTGGACAGTAAACCAGACATAATAGCCTTACAGGAGGCTA